TTTTTACAGTTTCTTATTTATAATTCTTTTTTTTACAATAGATGTATATATATATATATATATATATACACACTGTACATACAAAATATATATAGTTATTGGATATATATATATACACACACGTGTGTAATTTTCCTCTAAATACACTTAGTATGATGTTATGATATATATATATATATATATATATATATATCTATATACATATGTATATAGATATATATATATATATATGTATATATATATATATATATAAATATCCGGTTACTGAACAGATCGGCTGGAATGCAAGCAGGCGCGTGAATGTTTATGGGGGTTGTCATAGTAACCCCAAGCGGCTGAAGATGCCGGCGATCGTGCAGAGTATTTACAGTGGACATTCACACGCCTGCTTGCGTTCCAGCCGATCTGTTCAGTAACCGCTGGAACGCAGATAGGACACAGCAGCATAGAGAGCTGCTGTTTAATATTCTGTAACCGGGTCAAATTTACACACAATTTTTTGGCGATCAGCTCAGACAATAACAGGGGGCAAAGGGTAAGTGACATCTGTATACTTTGTAATTAATTATGAAGTGTTTGCTATTTAAACTGGTTATTTGTGTTGCACCTTCATCCTGACAAAAGTTCAGATACAGAACTGAAATGTTGATCCACTGTGGCAGTTTCCTGAATAAAAGCTAAGTTTTTTCAACTTTATTACAAAGTCCCTGGAGTGCTATCTTTCTACAAGACTGTATATATATATATATATATATATATATATATATATATAAACAGAAAAGATCCAGGATGCACACACAGGTCTTTGAAAAAAGTACGATGTGATTTATTTAGTGATAGGCATACAGCAAACAAAATCGACGTTTCGACCCCAGTGGGTCTTTGCCAAGATTACTGCATATGCATCCTATATGGTGGGCTAAAACACTTAGTAAAGTTTGCTATAGAGATCTGGGTTAACCGCCGCTTCTGCAGGAATACGATTATTCAATTTTGGTTGTCTCTATTTTTCAATAGTATAGATGATTCAAATGCTTCTGCGGCACCTACACCCTAAGTTTTTTAAATTTTATTACAAAATCCCTGGAGTGCTATCTTTCTATAAGACTGTGTATATATATATATATATATATATATATATATATATACACACACACACATACACACACACACATACAGAAAAAATCCAGGATGCACACACACAGGTCACTAAAAGTGATTTATTTAGTGATAGGCATACAGCAAACAAAAGCGACGTTTCGACCCCAGTGGGTCTTTTTCAAGATTACTGCATATGAATTAACAATGAGTATATATCACAAAATAATCTTATAATCAATAAATTTACCAAAAAAAAAAAAAAAATGTGAAATCAGGTGACACTCACATATATACTTGATAATAATAATATATTTTATAAATTATTTAATTCATTATTTAAATATATGAATATTACTGAAAGTTATGGTTTAAATTGATAACATAAAATAAAACTTATCAAATCAGGAGCCATATTTTAACATGGCATAAGTCTCAAGCATATGAATGCTCTCTATATCCCTCTCAGGCATCATATGCTAATTATATCAAACAGAGCGTTTAAGAGTGGACTTCCATAAATCAAAGGATAGGTGCAATAAAAGAATTTGAATGCTTTCTACATTTCAAATAGAAACAGCCTGAGTGGAATAACAACGAACACTAAAAAAAAAAAAAAAAACAGTGGCTAGCGCCTTTTCATATGTCGACATGTAACAGTTTATTTGGCCAGCCGAGAGGAAAGCGTAAAAAATAACCTATCGTTAAATATCAACTCATTTATATATATAAATATATAAATATATACACATACATACACACACACTTTTTAAAATGTATTAACTATATTTTTATATTTTTTAACTTTTTAAAAACTTTTTGTAATTTTTACCACCAGCAGGGGGTCTGCCTGTCAGTTCAGACACCTATTACGGCTATGTGACCACTCTTTTAGAGCGATCACATGACTCCTGGGGGTCCTAAATTGACTGAACCCAGACAGTCCCCCCTAAGAAGAAGGCCGATCATCAGTAAATACATGGGGAGGAAGAGGGAGGGTTGAGGGTAAATTTAAAAAAAAACAACATTTTTTTTTACTATTACTGAGTGCCTCGACCCCTCGAGGCACTCAGTACAGGCAAAGTATCAGAAGCCTGCATGATGGCGTCCAATACTCTGCCTCACTGCAAGGGGAGCGATCACTTGGTGTTTTCCGGGGATCACCGGCAGTGCTATACCATTAGATCTGATGGAAGCGATCATAATCGCTTCCAGCACTCTAATTCCCTGCGGAAGTATCAGGTACATCCTCGTCCTTAAAGGGACACTCCAGGCACCCAGACCACTTCTGCCCATTGGAGTGGTTTGGGTGCCTACTACCCAGTGCCCTTAACCCTGCAACTGTAATATTGCAGTTTTCATAAATTGCAATATTTACCTTGCAGGATTAACTCCTCCTCTAGTGGCTGTCTACTAGACAGTCATTAGAGGGCATTTCCGGGTTTAGAGCACAGATGCTATGTGAGGACCTCTAGCGTTGCTGAAATCCCCATAGGAAAGCATTGAAAGCATTTTCAATGCTTTCCTATGGAGAGGTCTAATGCCGCTCACGCCCATAAGGTCTCCCCCATCGCCGGCCGCGCATGTGCAATAGGTCTTCCCCGCTGGATGACGTTGGCGGGGGAGGAGCATCGGCGGATCCTGAATGCTGGATACAGGTAAGTCACTGAAGGGGTTTTAACCACTTCAGCAACTTGGGATGGGGGGGTGGAAGAGAGAGGGGACCTGCAGTGCCAGGAAAACGTTTTTTTTTCCTGGCACTGGAGAGTCCCTTTAAGTACCTTTTTTGTCAGACATATCTGATACGTCCAAGGTTGGGAATGGGTTAAATTTGAAAGGTATCACCCAGTGTTCGGCTCATTAGAAGAACTACTTTAAAGTTTTTTATATCAGTGGTATCTGACTCCATCCAAGCTCCAGAAAAAAATACCCCAATTCTACAAATCTCTGCTGGCGTGGCTGTGGGCAAACAGGCACATATTCCCATATGTAGTGGCATTGTCCACGTTTACAATTATTTTGGAAGAATGTACATACAATAATCAGGGATCTAACTCCATCTGTTGTGACTTTGACTCCAGAACTATGTCTACTCAAGTCATTTCAAAGTGGATAAGATAATGGTAGGCCAAGTCTTGATAGCGTACACTATGGTAATACCATGTTATTGGAGGTCTGACATTATTCCTGCTATTAAAGAGGTATTAACATTGGCCTTTGAGAATAAGTGGCACGAGATGCACCTCAGATTGCCATCACTATGAAGTGTTTTTCATAAAGCATATGTTATTAATTTTATAATGGATGGATATTTCCCCCCATGTTTCTTGTTGTTTGTTTGATTTAAATGTTTTATTTATTCCATATATTTCATTCTTTTACAATGATTATTATTCTTAAACATGAAAACCTTTCAATAAAAAATATTTGACAAGAAAGCAAAATATATACACTAGTAAAATCTTTACAACATAAAAAACATGGTAAGTGCTAGAAAATTTGAATGTGCTAAGAATAGGTAAAATGAACTAGCTGTCCTAATATGCTCAATATCAATTAAAAATGGAGCCTACATTTGTACATCTCAATTGGGAATGCATTAATATGTGTATCTCCAAATTAATATAATTCACAGACAGGCCATCAAAAAGAGGAATGCAGGGGTATACTGACTAAATGTTTAACTACTGTACCTGTTGATGTTTCTCTATGAAAGGTTCCAACAATGAGCAATCATTCCTACATATTTAGAAAAGAAATGGAATACAGGTAACAAATTTCTAAGTCCATGAAAACAATCTGACTCTAGAGTACAGAAAAGTAAGGGTCTAGTAAAAGATGGCTAAATTTCAAAGTGACACATACAGATTAGGAATACTTTTGAGATTGTCAATTCTGTCATAAACCCTAAGACTTCCTTGGCACAGTCTAAAAGATGATGTGCCTACATATATCCAGAGACTTCCAAGGGGCATTTTGCTCTTCTGCTCTCAATAGCTGAGGCACTGCCTATGGCGCATACTAAGAGGAAGGGAGCACTAAGCGTATCATTAAATAACAAACATTTCTTTTCACACACACACCGAAGTCTCATCCAGAACACCCACAGTACCAGTGGTTATCTCTCCCACACTGCCGCTGGGGAACAAGACCAGTTGTCTCCGTTTCCTGGATTTCACACTGCCGCTGGGAAACGAGACGGGTTGTCTCCTTTCCCAGGACTTCACACTAGCACTGGGGAACAAGACTAGTTGTCTCCAATCCCTGCACTTCACACTGCTGCTGGGGAACAAGACCGGTTGTCTTCGTTCCCGAGACTTCACACTACCACTGGGGAATGAGACCGGTTGTCTCCATTCCCAGGACTTCACACTGCCGCTGGGGAACAAGGCCGGTTGTCTCCATTCCTGGGACTTCACACTGCCGCTGGTGAATGAGACTGGTTGTCTCCATTTCCTGGACTTCACACTGCTGCTGGTGAATGAGATGGTTGCTTCTGTTCCTGGGACTTCACACTGCCCCTGGGGAATGAAACTGATTGTCTTTGTTCCCTGGACCTCACACTGCCGCTGGGGAGGAAGGACGGAACACTCCTGGACCTCACACTGCCGGACGAAACCAGACCAGCGAAACAGGCGCCCATAATCTCACTCAAGCTCCCACTCCAAGGTAGCCAGGAAAGTCAGGTCTAGCTGCAGCTCCACTATCTTGGGAAGATCGAAGCTGCCTTCTCGATGCTCAAGGATGTCCCAGAAGTGGAAATCATCAGGGTCTCTGAACGTCAAACCCTCAAAAGCCTCCCACAGCCGACCAGGGCCATTGTAGTTCTCTCCCTCAATGCACTCAGGCCCATCAACCACAGGTAGAGGAAGGATGCATGCCACCAGAAGGTCCAGTAGGATTCATCCAACCGCACTTCGATTTCGACCAGCCTCTCCAGTTCCTCTAATGGCTGGTCTCCCAGTTACGGCATCCGCAGCTCTAGTTGCTCCCATTGGCGCTGGTTGTGGCTGGGAGTTCCTCGCACCAGAAGGGTCGCGTTTCATCGAGGTCTTCCTTCCAGAGATCAGTTCAGAGGGAAGTGCAGAACATTCTGTAACCACTACTGGAACCTTTCGTCGAAGTGGGATACTGTCTGATGGTACAGGCCCTCCATATCCCCACTGTCCATAATTGGGAGTCCCCAAGATGTATCTAAATTATCCACCAGGCACTAGAGTTACAGATCACAATACATAAACTATTAAATATACATCCCACACATATACCGGGAAATCACACAAACCAAGTCTTTTCTCATTCTTTTTACAGGGCACATATGTAGGCATGGCACTCAGGGATGGTGTTTTGTCACAGTCCCCCCTCCCCCTTAGTGTTGTTTTTTCTCTTTCCTCCCTTGTCCCTTAGTGTTCCTCTTCCTCATTCACCCTTACCTGTCTCTTAGTGCCCGCCATCCCACTTAATGTTCCTCTTCCCTCTCTATTAGTGGTGCCCCCCAGTGTATCTTTGCCCTTCCCTTTCCCTTAGTCTCCCCCTCTTTAGTGGTTTGCTACCCTCCCACCTTAGTGGTCTGCTCAGTGAGCACTTCCTGTCAGTCCAGCTGGGTACAGGAAACAGATGCTCCTGTACAATGGTCCATTCCGCTCGGCCACGCTACACTGAGTGACTAATCTAGCGTCCCTCGGGTCGGTGCACCCTAAGGCGGCTGTATGGACACACTGGCCCTGTACATATTATGTACTCTATTTTTGCAATACAATACAATTCCAAAGGTCACGTTTAAAATACAAGCTTAGGTTTTTTGTACTCTCTAATCCATCAGAGTGCTTGGATTGTTACAGTATTTTCTAAACTTGGACTCACTATTTTTTATCAAGTGATTTTTTTGTGAGTTCCCTTAATAGACAGTTCAGTGCATAATATGTTGATGTGTGTGTGTATATATATATATATATATATATATATATATATATATCATGACTTGCAATCAGATCTTAAGCAACTCTAAGTTGGGTCAGTGTGTCCATTTACCCTGTAGTTTATACTTAGTGTAAACCTGGGGTAACTTCTTGTCAAGTATCAGTAAACAAGGCATATTATGTGTAATAAAACAAAGATGAGTAAGAAAATATTTTGAATAAATATCAATTCAGAAAAAAAACACTTTTTTATTCTTAATCCCTTTTAAAAATATTCCAAACTGTTTAAAATATACACCATACAATACTGTGCATGAAACATGCTTACATAATACTATGAGTATATTATATATTATCACAGCAATCCTAAAACATTCAAATACTTGCACAAAATTATATAGGTAGATCCAGCAGATATTTAACTAGAAAAGAGACAAAACATAGAAATACCTTGTGCAATACTGTAGAATATGAAACCGAAAATGCACTTAATAACCCCTTTAACTTACAGCAGAGTTGGAAACATGATAAAAGAGGCTATAGAAATAAAATTTCACAAAGAAAGTTTTTGGATCCCTATAAAGAGAAATACAGCAACAACTGAAAGAAGTGAGGATAGGGTTCACATAGTCAAGAAATAAAAAAAAAAAATCATATCCAAGACTACTGTAGAGAAGCAAAAATATTATGACTGAAGGGGGAGGGGGATAATAAACAAAATTACCCCCAAAGGGAATAGACAAACGAAGATGAACATAGTTCCCTATGAAGATAACACGGATTGCAAGATTTGGGGATGTAAAGGAAAAAAACCTAAAGAGAAAAAAAAACTGAACTGATAAAACCTATAGGTATAAGCAACATATCTTGATGCATTTTAAAGGATAATAAAATTAAGATTCTTAATAAAGGTCTAAATTTGTAATTCCTTCTAAGCATATATAGCTTTTTTAGAAGAGAAAAAGGGGGATGGAAGCTATAAGGAAAACGCTCATAGTGGGGTTAACCCACAATAAACTACACAGGTAGTAATAACAGAAATAGAACAATTGAGTGCCCTGAGAAAAATTAAAGAATAATAGCTAGGTTTAGCAAAGAATAATGAGTGGTAATACTAAATGTACAAGTGGTTGCAATATAATATGATATGAGGATTGCAACACTAAAGTAAAAGTACCTATTAGAGATTAAAAATAGATACAGCTTATTGGTAACGTGCTAAAATCTGAATATGGAAATGGAAAGTAAATTTCAAAAGAGTAGCAAACACAGAGGACCTGTTCAAAAGTTTTCAGCGTACCTCTGGTAGATCTAAACTGCATCAATACAATGTTGCAGTATGTAGTCAACTGTGACTAAAGCTATAGTACTTAGTAGGATCTGGAGAAAGTCATGTAACAAATAGTACTAAATAGCTTAGCAAAAGAGGGTCTGTGGTCACAGAAACACGGATATTGCTAAGTAGTGGATGTTACCAGTAAAAAAGCTCTAGAAGTCGCCAATAACATGCGATGGCTAATCTGAGAAAAACTGTAAGAAATCCTGGGAACGGATTGTTGGTGAGCTAAATATCAGCGACCCATAAACAAAAAGTGACAGTGAGGTAAATGGGGGTAGAGAAAAAATCGTTACCGCTGATAAATGCATGTGAAGGGGGAAAAACCTGCCACCTAAAGCTGCCCGGTTCTAACAGTAATATACTACGGGATTCTGAGGGAAGTGTGGACAGGTACGGTCAATAGCCCACACAGCAAGGTGTTGCAAAGAATCACCGATGACATATCGATTATTGTTCAATGGGCATCCACTGCAACTGAGTACCAAGCGTCGAACAGCTGTTCTGTCGTATGCCGACAAAATCAACCTAGCTATTTATATCCACTTTTAACTTATTCATTAAAAGTTATTTTTTAATTTTTCTCAGGGCACTCAATTGTTCTATTTCTATATAGCTTTTTTGAACTACAGTAGGAAATTATCTTTTTTTTTTTTAATTCTGTAAAACAGGAACTAGACAAGGAAGAGACTAATGATATTTTTAAGAATATTACAGACTATGTTTCCCCCCCCACCCCCCCACAAGTGATTTTAAACATGGGAGCAAAGAGGTTTTAGAGTGTAGTTTTTAATAATTTTTTTTTAAATTTAAAGGTTATAATAAATATTCTAATTTAACTAGGCGTGAAAGGAATGCTTTGTAAAGGGTAATCATTTTAAGAGAATTTGAATCTGGACCTGTCTATTGAAACGGTTTGGAATGCACACAAATCTGTCATGAGAGGTCACTTTATTCAGTAGTCGTCCTACACGAAAAAAACAAAATCTAAAAATGTACATACCTTGGATAAGGATTTATATCATTTAAACCAAGCAAATGAATTTGTACCATCCCCTACATTATTGGCTATGATTAAAGAGATCATGCAACAAAATGACCCTATTCAATAGGCATACACAAGCTTGATGTCGAGACATTTGAAACTTTATCTAAAGGGGATAAAGTCTCAGCAATACTATTAAGCTACTGAATTGCTCAATCTAGGATTGAACATATTATTAATGCAACAATATATTATTAAAACAACAATACCAAATTGTATGCCAAGGTTTTAGCCACTAGGTTATCCAAAATTATCCCTGATATTGTTAAGAATGATTAAGTTGGATTTGTGTTGGACAAGCAGACCACGGAAAGTTCATCAATATAATTCACCGGATTTGGGTTGATCAGATGCCTTCTATGCTTCTATCTTTGGATGCAGAAAAGACATTTGATAGAAAACACTGGGGTATTCAAGATAAGTTTTATTTAATTTGGCTTTACGACACTACTTGTGGATGCAATATTTCCATTATATCATCATCCCACTGCTAGAGTCTCGGGCACGGGTTTCATGTTAGAGAGTTTCCCTCCTACTTATGAAATGAGTCAGGGTTGAATGAGTCTCTTATCTATTTTGGCAATGGAAATCCTGGCCAAATTTATTAAGAATGATCCAATGATAGAGGGTGTTCCAATTGGTAATGTTAGTTACAAGATCGGACTTTTCGCTCTTGACATCATTCTGACTTTGCGAAACCCAGCTGCTTCTCTTGATTCAGTGATTCATATCCTAACATATCCTAACACAATTTAGTAAAGGTTTCATATTATAAGCTTAACAAAAATAAGACTCAAGTGTTGTCTTTTTATGTTCCACTGCCTGTTTTGGATTGCCTATGTGGGCACTAGCCTGACCAAAATCCTGTCAAACATGCGCAAATGTAATTTGCCTAAAGTCTGTCCAGATCTTCAGAGAGAGTTAGATAGGTGGGGGGATTTGGAGATTTCATGGCTGGGTAGGATATATTCCTTAAAAATAAATATTCTTCCAAAAATGTTGTACTTTTTATGAGCCATACCTACGTTAATCCTGTCATTCTTCAGGAAAATAAATTCAGCTAGGATAGGGTACATTTGGTTAGGCAAGCCCAGTAGGATCAAATTGTTGTCTGGCTACCTGGAAATTTGTTTCCAAAAGTTAGAGAGATACTTCCTACTAACAGGACAATGTGCCACTTTACGTTTTAGAACATGCTACACCAGGGTTTAATGTAGCTTTCTGGAGATCTCTCTCTCTTAATAATATGGATGATTTCTTTCCAAATAACTTCTTACTCTCATATGATAAATTTAAATTAAAATATGACTTAGATGATTCGGTTGCCTCCAAATATGAAATTATTGTTAACAAACTGTCACGGGTGGCAGTACGGAAACCGGGACCCCTGAGTGCCTGATGAGAAGTGGGAGTCTTCAGCGTGGAAGTGGATTACAGGGCCCAGTGCAGGGTAACCACACGCCCCCTGGTGTTGAGCACCAGCGTTTGTGCAGCCACAAACCAGAACCATGATGAAGCTACAGCGGATCTCAGGAACTAGGAGCTTGATATACAGACCTCCCAGGAACTGGATAGGGGGGCTCTGCAGCATACATGTATCCAGTACAGAAACAAGTATAGAACAGACACCAAACATGAAAACAAGACAGAACTAATAGAACCTAGAACCAGAGCAGGACAGAAAGCAGAACCCAGAACATGTATACAATACATAAGGGAACATTAACTAAACAGGGGCAGGACAGGACTGTACATGGACTGGGGTTACAAAATAAAACAAGACAAGATATAATAGGCAAAACAAGAGGAGACATAACTAAGCACTATTTATTAAACGTATGGGGGATTTAGTTACATTATATGATCATACATTGCATAAGCCTGCCACAACATC